CTTAAATATTCACCACGTTGGTTTTGTGAAAGTTAATTTAATGCTTTGACGTTTATTATTTGCTTATTTTCTCTTACATTTATTTTAGGTTTAAGGACAAATCATCTTTTCTTATTCAAAAAAGCATTGCAGATTAAGTATAAAGGTCAGTGCTAAATATTTTGTCCAGTGCAGAGGTCAGTTTTAGGTAGGAACCATTAGTTTAAGTGTCCTTTAGGTTTCCCAGCAACGAGCTACTGTAATAAACTGTCCCAGCAGGTAAGTATAGCAGGTCGGTCTAAAGATAGACAGAAATGTGACTCTAATGAGTCAAAATGTCTTATTTTGGGAGAAAGAAGAAAAAGAACAGATGGATGAATAAATAAAGTTCATGTTTATGTTGTAATTAAAAGCCCATTAAATCAAATATATGCTATTTAACCGTTAAGACTTAACAATTATAAAAATTAAGATAATACGACTTTTCAAAGAGCTGCAAGAATACTGGCAACTGTATTCTGGCAAGTTTCAGCAACATGTTTCATAAAGTTTTATAACCTTTTCCTGCAGTCACTGATATATATATATATATATCACTCCAGCAGGTGTCCTGCTATGTTTAATCTGCAATGAGAAACTGACAAACACTAAAAAGTCACTAGGCTGAATTCGCCAGCTTCTTGTTCGAATTTTCCCGTTCAACCTTAAATGGTGCAGCAGTTACATTCTGGCGTCTAAGGCACCATTTAAGGTGGAACGGAAAAATTCGAACAAGAAGCTGGAGACTGAGAAGTGACTTCAGCCCTGTAAAAAAATTAAGGTTGAGAGACATTTTACAAGAAACTATTTTACTTTTGTGGAAAAGTTTCCTGCTGGAGATGTGAGAAAAGCAGCTATAGCTGAGCTTAAGATTAAAGCAGACCAAAGTTAGTCTGCGTTTTTTTTTTGTTTAAAATATATTTGTTAGCCTACACTATGACATTAACACACACTGAGACATATTTACAGCCAAGATGGTAAAATGGACAGAAAATGTTGTGGCTCCCAAGGTGGTTAGATTTTTTGTTGAAAGGACAAAATGGATCGTCTTAACATTCGGGTTCTCAAGGTTTCATCCTCATACCATCTCAGGGGTTTTTGCTTTTACTTCTGTTACTGTTCTGCAACTCGTGATAACTTGTGATGAGTCATTTACATTGCTGTGGAAGAATATTGGCCCACTTTTTTTGCAGAATTGTTTTCATTCATCTACATTGGAGGGTTTTCGAGAATGAACTACTCCATTAAGGTCTTGTCAAAGCATCTCAATGGGATTCAGGTCAGGGCTTTGACTCAGCCTCTCCAAAACCTTAATTTTGTTTCTTTTGAGCCATTCAGAGGAGGACTTGCTTGTGTGCTCATGCTCAACAACCCAACTGCGCTTGAGCTTTAGGTCACAAACTGACGGGCAGTTCTCCTTCAGGATTTTCTGACAGAGAGCAGAATTCTTAGTTCCATCAATTATGACAAGTCATCCAGATCCTGCAGAAGCAAAGCAGCCCCAGACCATAACACTACCACCACCATGTTTCACTGTTGATATAATGTTTTTATGGTGGAATGTGGTGTTAGCTTTACGCCAGATGTAACGAGGCGCATGTCTTTCAAAAATGTACACCTTTGACTCATGAGTCCACAGGAAAATATCCCAAAAATCTTGGGGGTCATCTAGATGTCTTTTTGGCAAATGCAAGATGAGCCTTTGTGTTCATTTTGGACAGCAGTGATTTGCACTTGCAGCTCTCCCATGGATGCCATTTTCACCCAGTGTCTTTCTTATTGTGGAATCATGTATATCGACCTTAACTGAGGCAAGTGAGGCCTGCAGATCTTTAGATGTTCGTCTGGGTTCTTTTGTGACCTGCTGGATGAGTTGTTGATGCACTCTTGGTGAAATTTTGCTAGGCCGGTCACTCCTAGAAAGGTTAACCACTGTCCCAAGTTCGTGGATAACAGCTCTCACTGTGGTTCACTGGGGTCCCAGAGCCTCAGCAATGGCTTTGTAACCCTTTCCAGATGGTAGATTTCAATTATTTTGTTTCCCATATTTGAGACATTTAGAACGTTGCTGCTTTTTGAGACCTTCTAGTCTGCTTCACATTGCCAGGCAGGTTCTATTTAAATGATGTTTAGATTTAAAAGGTCTGGTTGTAATCATGTCTGGGTGTGGCCATTGAAACTGAACCCAGTGGTCAATTGAATTTTGTTAACTGATTGATTTCGTAGTTAAGGGGGCAATTACTTTTTCGCATAGGGCCAGAATTTTTCCTTTAATAAATAAAATGATAACATTAATTAAACTTAGTGCATTCTGATGGTTAATCACACTACATTCTTGACGTGACATTGAGGTGATGCAGCCATCTAAACAAACCAGATCACTGTCACTGATTAGAGTGAGACTGAATTGAGTTGCTTAAACAATGGCGCTTTTTAATGTTGGTTCCTCTCAAGCTTTCATCCTCATACCATCTCAGGGATTTTTCCTTTTGCCTCTTATTTTCAGCTCAATCTAAATCAGCATTTCTGATAAGCAGCTTTAAGATAATGTCAATCAGTAAAGCATTATATCTAACTGAAGTCCATCACACATTTTTTAAAGTCAAACATTATTTGAAGGCTGCCTACATAGGAACTTAATAAGCATAATCTTTGTCAAAGAAAAAGAACATAATAAAAGCATAGTTTGAACATTCTCATCTATGTTAGGTACAATAAATTAATGTAGGATATCACATCAGCCAACAAGTTTAAAAGTCAGTTACATCTTTGTATGGGAATGCTAGAGTCTTGTTATGGTTTGGAAGAAGTCAATAAAAAAAATGTTTTTACAACCCCATTTCCAAAAAAGTTGGGACACTGTTCAGAATGTAAATAAAAAATAGAATAAAAAATAAAAAACCCTATACCATCAATGATATTCAAATCATGTAAACCTTATTTTTAAAGGAAAATACTACAAAGACAACATGTCAGATGAAGAAACTGAGAAATATTATTGCTTTTTGAAAATTATATGCCCATTTTGAATTTTATGCCAATAACATGTTCCAAAAAAGTTGGGACGGGGGCCTGTTTACCACTGTGTTTCATCACCTCTTCTTTTAACAACACTCTGTAAGTGTTTGTCAACTGAGGAGACACTGCTGTAGTTTTGAAAGTAAAATGTTTACCCGTTCTTGTTTGATACAGGATTTCAGCTGCTCAACAGTTCAGGGGTCTCCTTTGTCATATTTTTCATTTCATAGTGCACCAAATGTTATCACTGGTGACAGGTCTGGACTGCAGGCAGGTCAGTTTAGCACCCGGACTCTTAATACGGAGCAATGCTGCTGTAATACATGCAGAATGTGGTTTGACATTTCTTGCTGAAATAATCAAGGCCTTCCCTGAAAAGGACGTCGTCTGGATGGCAGCATATGTTGCCAAAACATTTATATATCGTTCAGCATTAATGGTGCCTTCACATCAGCACGTCACCCATGCCATGTGCACTAATGCCCCCCTATACCATCATGAATACTGGCTTTTCAACTGTGCGCTGATAACAAGCTGAGTGGTCTTTAGCCCAGAGGACACAGTGTCCTTGATTTCCAAAAAGAATTTCAAATGTTGATTCATCAGACCACAGGACACTTTTCCACTCCCCCTCAGTCCATTTTAAATGAGCTCGGGCCCAGAGAAGGTGGCAGCATTTCTGGATCCTGTCTATATATGGTTTCTTCTTTACGTTTTAGAGCTTTAACTTGCATTTGTTGATGCAGCGACACACTTTTCATAAACAGTGGTTTTCAGAAGTGTTTCTGAGCCCATGCAGTGGTTTCCACTACAGAATCATGTCTGTTTTTAATGCAGGGCTGCCTGAGGGCCCAAAGATCACGGCCAGCTAATACTGGTTTTTGGCCTCGTCCCTTACATACAGAGATTTCTCCAGATTCTCTGAATCTTTTAATGTTATTATGTACCGTAGATGATGAAAAGCAAAAGTTCTTTGCTATTTTACGTTGAGAAACGTTATTCTTGATTTGTTGCACTATTTGATCGGCAGTCTTTCGCAGAGTGGTGAACATCTGCTCATCTTTACTTCTGAAAGACTCCGCCTCTCTGAGATGCTCTTTTATAACCAGTCTTGTTACTGACCTGTTGGCAATTAACCACCAGGCATTACACAACTTTACCAGCCTTTTGTTGCCTCCGTCCCAACTTTTTTGGAACATGTTGTTTGCATCAAATTCAAAATGAGCAAATATTTTTCAAAAAACAATAAAATTTCTCAGTTTCAACAACTGATATGTTGTCTTTGTACTATTTGAATGAAATATAGGGTTTAAATGATTTGCACATCATTGCATTTTGTTTTTATTTACATTTTGCACGGCATCCCAACTTTTTTGGAAATGGAGTTGTATAAATGAGAGGTAAATGAGTTTTTCTCAGCTGAATGTCACTGGTCACAGGCCTATGTGGAAATGTCAATGTAGAAACAAATCAAACTGCAGAAAACAGCAAAAAAAAGCGATTTTAAAAAACAGAAAAGCAATTTTAAAAAAACAGAAAAGATTATGATCATTCTTTCTCTGCCAGCTCAGAGTCAAAAGATCACAAAAAGATCAAAGTATAAGAGTAAGACGGGGGTTTAAAGTGTGTAAAGTGTACTACATTGCCATCTGTGATCTTCTGATTGAAATTTTTATTGCAATTTTCAAAACTTTGGATGACCCTCTGCTTTGAGTGAATTGCTAAAAACAACCCTCTGATTTATTCATGCATCTTCCTGTTCCTTGAAATGCCGCCATGTACAAGGAAGTATGTGATAACTGCCCAAACTTGTCATGTAACTACTTTGATTGTCTAGTCTAGTTTGGCTCGTGTATAAATACCCCGTTATCTTGCCCAGTCAGTCTCATGCAGCCTTCCTTTTCAGAAAGGAGAGAGCGACTGTAGTACAGGCCCACTTCATTCATTTAGCCTAATCTAACAGCATGAATCAGCTCATCAGCATCATCCTGCCTCTGCTTCTGCTCTCTTTTGGGGTGCAGATCAGAGGGCAGTCTGCAGCAGGTAATACTAACAAGACACGATCCCTTGACAGGCCTTACCTTGGAATCATCACTGTGGGCAATGGACAGATTTGGGGCTCGTGGGGCAATCGAGAGATGTGTCCATTGGGCACCTATGCCACAGGTTTCAGTCTCAAGGTAAGTATGTGATATTACTGCAGTAAATCTGGCAAACTATTAACATTAACTGAGCGGTGCAGGGCTGCATTATAGGGTCAGGAGGTTTAAATCTCAGCTGTGATATTCTGTTCATGGTCATTTTGTCGGACTTTTTTTTTTTTACTGGAATGTCGCTGGACCCAATTTGCTGGGTCATGAAAATTTAATTGACCCAGTTTACTTGGACACTTATATCAAATAAGAATCTCAAAATAATGACTTCTTGACTTAATATCTCAACATGCATGTTCTCATCGAAATTAAATACTATTCGATATACTATCGAAATTAAAACGATAGTAGACGCAATAACTCAAAATTGTGAGCTATTACACAAAAAGAAAGTATGTCATTATTTTGGGAGATTTTGTTAGTTTTCAACTGAGACATTCCTAAATGCTAAGTAGGTGCTTTTTTTTTTAGGTTGAATCAAATCAGGGATTTTGGGGTGATGACACCGCCCTAAATGGAATTGCTCTTCGCTGCACTCCACCTAATAAGCCGTCAAACGCCATTATCAACTACTCTACAGTTCAATCCAACTCAGGAAGGTAAAACTTCTTTCTGAAAACTTTTACTATAAATGAATTACATGAGGAGATAAAACCTGTGCATATAGATCCATGGTGACGTGTGCTAATAGCCTAGTGGAAAAACTAGACTGCAAAACTCTAAAATAGAAGTGTGAGAAAAGAGTGATTTCTAAAGCCGTGACTACAAGCTTTACCTATTAGAAAATGAGCCTATTACTGTCAATATATTTCAGTACCAATATATACACATTTATTTTCAGTACCAATATATACACATATTTATTTTCAGTACTGATATATACACATATTTATTTTCAGTACCGATATATGCACATATTTATTTTCAGTGACGATATATACACATATTTATTTTCAGTACCGATATATACACATATTTATTTTCAGTACCAATATATACACATTTATTTTCAGTACCAATATATACACATATTTATTTTCAGTACTGATATATGCACATATTTATTTTCAGTACCGATATATGCACATATTTATTTTCAGTACCGATATATACACATATTTATTTTCAGTACCAATATATACACATTTATTTTCAGTACCAATATATACACATATTTATTTTCAGTACTGATATATACACATATTTATTTTCAGTACCGATATATGCACATATTTATTTTCAGTGACGATATATGCACATATTTATTTTCAGTGACGATATATACACATATTTATTTTCAGTGACGATATATACACATATTTATTTTCAGTACCAATATATACACATATTTATTTTCAGTGACGATATATACACATATTTATTTTCAGTACCGATATATGCACATATTTATTTTCAGTGACGATATATACACATATTTATTTTCAGTACCAATATATACACATATTTATTTTCAGTACCAATATATGCACATGTTTATATCACATATTTATTCAGTATTGTCATTATATGCTGTTATTGCACTGCCTTTTTCATCTCAGGTTATGGATCTTCTTGCAGTTTTTTGTATATTTCTATTTGTTTATATGCCTGTAGATAGGATTTTTGTATTTATTCTTCTTTTTACATTGTTTCACCCTTATTATTATTACTGTCCTGTGTTGTGTGACTGCTACTGGCTGCTAAATTTCCTTTGGGATCAATAAAGTATCTATCTATCTATCTATCTATTGCGATGGCACTCTGAAATTCAGTCATGGATGCTTTTTGGAAAACCATCATTTTCATAATTTAACCCATCAGAACCAGCGAGACACTTTCACTGTATGGAAAACACTGCAAGTTTTTTTTTCTCAGATGGTAAATCACACGCTGGGAAACCACAACAGATGCAATGCTTCAACAGTGAAAGTGAATAAAACATCATGTGTACATATTTAAGATTAGTTGTTACCTGTTTCCTGGTCGAAGACAGGGATGAGAGAAACTTTCTCTACATCTTAAAGTTCCAGGGCTGTTCTAACATCAATTCACTTTAGCTTGGTTGTTTTACTGCAGCGAGTCATTCTGAAGCAAAGTTACAAAACAAGTTGGCATTTATCTTCAGTTCCATTTAAAGCTAGCCAGGAAGAAAGCTAGCATTACAGGACATAGAGAGAGAGAACTAATAGCCGGCTTCTTCAAAATGGAATGTTCACTCATTTATTTTAATAAAATAAACGTTTTAAGATATAGGCTCACATAAAGCCAAAGGATTTTAGTCTGAAGTCCAAGTTGGTTCAACGTCCCAAATCTGTTTTCAGTTCTGACTTTGAAGCAGCTTAGAATGATCCATATATTGTACATTAATGATACCACTGATGTGGAGTACATTACTGTTTACTGGTCTGTGCTAACTACAGATAACGGCTGCTCTTTCTGTTGCTTTTGTGGCCTTTAGCTGGGGGCAATGGACACAAAATAAGTGGTGCACAAATGGACAACTGGTAGCCTTCCAGCTGCGTGTGGAGCCCAAACAAGGATTTGGAGATGATTCTGCTGCCAACAACATAAGGTGATTTCCTCTTTACTCCACACAATAATCCAACGACTCAGTATTAGCTAAAAGAAATGCTTATTGCACATGTTGTCACCAACTGTCCTGCTGGAGGCTTTACTTCTTCAGCCCAAACCTAACACAGTTAATTAAGGACTTTATGGATAGACATTAGACGGACATGGTTCCTATCTAACCAAGCATTTTCAACAAGCTTTAGCTTCACTAAACCTAATAAAGACAACCACGGCTAACTCAACACTCTCTGTTAACTTAGATACTCAGGCTACACTCTGAGGAATTCTATCATTTCTATAATAATATAATTCTATAATAATAATACAGTGACATGTTTGAGCCAGTATGATACTGTTCATTAGCAATTTAGCACTTCTTGTAGTTTTATACAGCAAAAGTGTGTTGAATTCTAGAAAAATATTTACAGTACAGGCATCTTATACTCTATCAAACACCATATGGAATGGCTTCTGTAAAACTGGATGCTAGTACTTTTCTGGAGCGCTGCCTCCATCGCTATTTAATGTAGTTTTTTATTATTTCAATGTTAGCAGTGCTAGCTGAGCTGTATTGCTATCTGTGAACTATGTTCCAGTGGTAAAGCTAGTCCACGTCCTGGTTAGCTAATGCTATCTATCTATCTATCTATCTATCTATCTAATAGTGTGTTAGCTTACATATCACAACATGTACCAACATAAAATAAGCATGAGATATTCAGGTGAGTTCATGACCTTTTTATTTTATGTCATTATATATCAGAGTTCAGTGTAGACGCTTTCTAAATATCCTTTTTCATGGTATCTGATTAGCTATGATAATGCTAATTTCAGTTAGCTATGGGATTCAGCCTCTGTGGATTTGCAGTGTTATTTTAGCACCAAGCTAACTGTGGTGTACATTTACTTTCCCAGTAAACACTGAATTCTAGAGCTTGTAAAACCTAAGCTTGTTAAGCCTAATTGTTATTAGTGCAGACTGTTAGCCTGTTAGCTTTCAAAAGAATAGCTGTTTGCATGTTTGAAAATGTTTTTTGTTAGGATCTTCGACTCTTTAAAAAAGTAGTTGATGTAATTTAACAGTTGTTTTAACTCTAATTTTCTAATATATGTGGATATAACATATGTATGTCTATACATATGTGAATATATGAAATAAATACGCTGCTCCGGCACCGTTAAGATGTTTATAGAACAGCTCCTTAAAGTCTTTTCTGGAACAGACTGGTATCCAGTGTAAGGATTTAAGAATGGGGGCGTCCTTCTTTAACTCCTAGTGAGACTCTGACAGCTGCATTTTGAATCAGCTGAAGCTGTTTCATTGTCTTTTTTGGGGGTCCATTTAGGAGACCATTACGGTGATCAATGCTGCTAGAAATAAAGGTGTGGATGAGTTTCTCCAGGTCTGCTTTCATCAGAAAATCTCTGATCTTGTTGATGATCTTAAGGTGTTAAAAAAGTTGGTTTAGTGACTGCTAAAACTGAGATCAAAATCCATTACACCAAGGTTACTTACTAATCCTTTAGAGTTTAAGGCAACTGCAGAAAGTTTGTCCCATCCAGTTAGTGATGTGATCAAGGCACTGACAATGTGAGTCAAGGGGATCATATTTGTTTGGGGAGAGGGCCAAGTAGATCTTAGTATCATCTGCATACCATTGGTAAGATATCCCATGTAAAACATGTAAAAATTAAATATGAGATGCCCAAGAATCGAGCCTTGGGGCACACCACAGTTCACTGGCATTCTCTCAGAAACAAAAAATTCTTTATGTTCTGACATGTAATTTGACCAAGGGTGTTAAAATGTTTCCGTACGACTATAAGTCTAGAGTTAGCTGCCTAGGCACATTTTTCAGGTGTGGTGAATAAAGGTAAGACCTTAAAACCAAGAATTAAGGTAAGACCTTAAAACCAAGGCCATAGATCTCCAGAAAACAGAGTTGGTGACCACTTGGCCACTACACTAGCATAATACCACAAACCTGGCTTTGAATTGCAATGAATTTGACTGAATGATTGCAATGACAAATAATGCTTCAAAATTCCTCAGGTTCAGATGCAGCGGAGGTGACGTGTGGGAGGGTGACGGAATGGGCTGGGGGAGCTGGGGCTCCTGGAGCCCGACCTGTGCTGGAAGGGGGATCTGCGGCATTGAAACTAAGGTAGAGGCTCCTCAAGGACCAGGAGATGACACCTCTCTTAACGATGTCCGCTTCTACTGCTGCAGTTAAGGTATGGCCCGCTGCATTTTGGGATGTGTTTCAAAAGCAACAGAATACACATTCCGTTTTGTAACAACACGTAACATCACATCACTGCCAGTTGGATGTACTATCACAGTGGTTAAAGGAAAAGGTCAGTGAAAATCAAATTTACATGATATTCCACTTAACCCAGATGTTTAAAACAGGAGATATGAGGCTAACATTGCTATCAAACACTGGGGCTGAATAGTCACCCAAACCGTTTCAATAAATACATCCCCAAGACTTCTCTCAACCTGGTCAAAGTGCATCCAGGTCTTTAAGTCCATGTGGTTTAAAACATAGTATGACTCACTATGAACTATAAAAATGCAAAAAAATTCTCCATGTAGCTAAAAGAAGGGGCAGCAATTTGGGATAAGTTAGCTTCTTATTCAAATTTTCTGTTCCACCTTAGATGGTGCAGCAGTTGCATTGCTGCAGAATTGCAGAACATAGCTGCTGCACAATTTAAGGTGGAATGGAAAATTAACAAGAAGCTGGTCATTAGGAAGCCAACTTCAGCCTCATCCACATAGCTATAAATGGCACAACAGCACAAAGAAAACGGAGAAAAGGAAACAATGCTTACCTCAAATTCACATCTTCGAGGTGTTGTTGATTTTTATCTCGCTGGAGACCTTCTTCAGGCAAAGAATGATCTGCACTCCATCCTCCGAGTTTGAAGGTGGAATAGTACCGGAATGCAGGGCGTTATATGGATGATAATGTAGCTTCAAATCTATTTTTTTCTTACAAGTATATGTAGCCTATTGACATAATTTGAAGCAAGAAGTGTCTAAAGATTTTGGCACTTTTTTGTGGAAACTGTTTTGGTGACTATTTACTTCCAGTGTTTGTTAGCACTGTTAGACTAGCAACTCCAGTTCTAAATTACAGAAGGTGAACTTGGGTGCCAATTAGATTTTGCAACAAACCACTTCGTTAAAGACCCATCCCATTTGAATTCTGTGTATTTTGAACTAATGACAGGACATCTAGTTTCCAATCTGCATTAAGAAAACATCAGAAATCATGTGTCCTTTGTTACAGGATGCGCTGATGCAACAGGAAGACGAGATGCAGCTCTGTATATATCATAAACCTTCTAGCACATATTCTCTGTCTGTCTAAGTAAATCAATATCCAGAAGTGATTATAAACAGATCATCAACATAAACATATAAGGGGTTCTTATTAATTATTTCACTTTGTTATTTGAACAACAATTTATGCTTCTTCTATTGTACTTCTTTTTGGGACAGTTGGTGAAATGCTCACTGGTTGTGTATGTGTATACATATCAAAATAAAGCCTTTCAACTTCCCTACTTGCCTTCCACAATTTGTATTTTTATTATCTTCATATTATTTTTAGCCTTTCAAAACGAATGCCAATTCAACTGGAGCACTCATCCATGGTACTTGGTGCCAAGTGGGGCCTGGCAAGCTCAAAAGGGCAGAGCAAAATCTCAATAGCTATGTTATCTTCACTTGGCTTTCTAGCTAGGAAGACACAATACTGAACTGTGAGAAACTGTTGTACTCTATATGGCCAAGTATGTGGACACCTGACCATTAGACCTATATAAGCTTGTGGGACATCCCATTCCAAAACTACGGGCATTAATATGGAGATTGCAGCTATAACAGCCTCCACTTTTCTGGCTTTCCACAAGACTTTAGAGTGTGTCTGTGGGACTTTTCTGCCCATTCATGAGAGGGCCTGGCGCACAATCGACATTCCAGTTCATCCCAATAGTGTTCAGTGAGGTTGAGATCAGGAACAGAAAGGCTCTTCCCCAAACTGCTGACACAAAGCTGGAAGCAGAGAACTGTGTAAAATGTCTTTGTGCTGCAGCATCAACATCACCCTTCACTGGAACTGAGAGCCCAAACCCTGAACAACAGCCCAGCTCATCATCCCTCCTCCACCAAACTCTACTGTTGGCACTGTGCATTCCTGTAGGTAACATTCTCCTGGTATCCACCAAACCCAGGTTCATCCATCAGACGCTGGACAGTGAAGCTGATTCATCACTGCAGAGGACACATTTCCACTGCTCCAGAGTCCAGCGGCGGCGCTTTACACCACTCCAGCTCTTCAGTGCGACCCACTCTACTGCCAGTGTTTCTCTATTGAGGCTGCATGGCTATGTGCTTGACTTTATACACCTGTTAGTAATGAGTGTGGCTGAAACACCTGAACTCAATAATAAAGGTGTCCACATACTTTCTGGGATACAGTGTGTCTTGAGTAACGCAAGTAACATAATTCTTAAGTCGCTAACTGTGATGTGATTACAGGAATTTAAACTGAAATGTGTCACCCAACTCTTTGATCTTTCCTTGCTGACCCTTCTTAAGTAGTTTATTTACTACACGTATGTGCTTCTCCTCATATTTAGGTATGAATACTTGTGTTGAACAAAGGCAAAGAAAAGAAGGAAAAGTTTATATTCACGTTTTTTAATACTTGGTTCGATTAGCATGTAATGCGTAATACTTTGAGAGCAGATTTCTGTACACAACTATGCATTCTTATACCAGAGACCAGGTGTACTCAGTATGAACTAATGCCCTAAATAATCTTCCAGATTAATCCTTTCACTGTAACGTCACATCTGACACATTTATTATTTTACATGTAACATAGTTCTCCAAATAAACTGGCATCATTTTGATCTATAGTGGGATTAAACAGGCATATTCAGAGTTATGAGCAGGCTTTCTGTGTAAATGGTTCACCAACATTTATTTTTAGCTCCTTTACTACCCTTTAGTTTAACATAATGTGCAGTGCTGTGCAAAAATCAGACACCACCCTTTATTTCTTTAATTTACAGGTGAATTAAGTTGCTTTCAGTTTTTCAATTTCAGCGAAAGCTGCAGGGATATTTTCCCACGCCTCCAAAGTTCAGTCTTAGAAGCTGGTTGATCATTTTCTGAAGTAATCAAACACATTCAGTGATGTTGAGGTCTGGACTCTGGGGTGGTCAGTCCATTGTTCAGCTTCTTTGTTTGATGTGTCCGTCTCCTTTTCTCAGTGAGGTTCTTCTTGATCAGCTACACATCCTTTCAGACCCACAGCGCTGAGTCGTCTCCTCACAGTGGAAGGATGGACAGAAACACCTGTGGATGTTTTCAGATCTGAAGTAACTTGATTTTCTCCTCTCTCTCAGAGATGAAACCTTTAAGCGCTGTTTATCTGATGGGGGCAGTTCTGGTGTCGACCAGGTCTTCCAGGTGGTTGTTAGGAGGCCCATTTTTGTCCGTCTTGTGTTTCTAAATTAAATAAATAAACAGTGGTCTTGGATGTTTGCACAGTATGTATGTATGTAAGTGGCAGGAGTAAAGGACCATAATTGAGATAAATCCAAACACTGATCATTTCTTTTGTTGTTCATCGCTACAGTCTAGCTGAGACCTGCCAGCCTGTTACTGACTCACAGGTCATGTGTGAAGAGCTGCTCTCAGATCAGCTGTTCTGAATGTTGACAGTGATAAAGGCTGCAAGGCAGCAGTTCTGGGATCAGGGTTTCTGTGCCAGAAGCGTGCTCAGTTTGATCTTTCCGTCCATGGAGGCAGTGAGGCACGTTCCACAGTCTACAGCAGAACACCAGTCCACTGTTACCACTGGAGCCTTGTGACCTCCTAGAGACAACACGCTCTCCAGGCCCGACTCGCCTTTATTCAGCTGCACAGGACACACAAACAAACACAGTGTTAAAGCGGTAATACTTCTCTGTTTATCAGCGTCCTAATCAATGTGGTGTTTGTTCTGAGACCTCCCCCCTGACTGTGATTGGTCCACATCACACTGTTGTTTGTTCTGAGACCTCCCCCTGACTGTGATTGGTCCACATCACACTGTTGTTTGTTCTGAGACCTCCCCCTGACTGTGATTTGTCCTAATCACTGTTTATTCTGAGACCTCCCCCTGTCTGTGATTGGTCCTAATCACTGTTTATTCTGAGACCTCCCCCTGACTGTGATTGGTCCTAATCACTGTTTATTCTGAGACCTCCCCCTGACTGTGATTGGTCTTAATCACTGTCAAATAGCTTGTTCTGACACCGCCCCCTGCCTGTGATTCGCCTAAATCACCATATAGTTCGATTCTGTTCAGTTCTTTTGTTGTCTGAAGGACACTGTCAGCCTAAGACTGTGTCCGAGAGTGGGGGTCAGGTGTGCTTACTCGATAGATGAGTCCTCCGGTACTGGAGCAGGTGAGGACGTGCTGCCCTTCTGAGTCGAAAGCAAACAGTCGTCCGTGCGGCACCTGAACCTGCTTATAGCCGCTGTAGCCCGACAGCACAAATGGCCCCACAGCATCCTGGGATAGCAAGTACTCTGACTGCTTCACACCAGAGCGGTGGATATTCCACTGAATGAACTGGGGAGTAAAGATAAAACATGATAAATATATAGACATATAAAATGGATAAAAATATGTTGGATAAACTAGGAATGTCTTGGATTGGTTTGTGGAGTGTTGGATAGACTGGGAATGCTGGTGGATTGGTTTGTGGAGTGTTTGATAGACTGGCAATGCTGGTGGATTGGTTTGTGGTATTGCAGGAATGCTGTGTATTGGTTTGTGGAGCGTTTGACAGACTGGGAATGCTGGTGGATTGGTTTGTGGTATTGCAGGAATGCTGGTGGATTGGTTTGTGGTATTGCAGGAATGCTGTGCATTGGTTTGTGGAGTGTTTGATAGACTGGGAATGCTGGTGGATTGGTTTGTGGTATTGCAGGAATGCTGTGTATTGGTTTGTGGAGTGTTTGACAGACTGGGAATGCTGGTGGATTGATTTGTGGTATTGCGGGAATGCTGTGCATTGGTTTGTGGAGTGTTTGATAGACTGGGAATGCTGGTGGATTGGTTTGTGGAGTGTTGGATAAACTGGGAATGCTGGTAGATTGGTTTGTGGTATGTAGGATAGACTGGGTATTCTGTGGATTGATTTGTGGTGTGTAGGATAGATTGGGAATGCTGGTGGATTGGTTTGGGGTATGTTGGATAGACTGGGAATGCTGGTGGACTGGTTTGTGGTATGTAGGATAGCATGCAAACAAGTTTTGTTGTAGATAGCCCAGCTACACAACATGCTAGCTTGCGTGTATAATGATAGTGACTTTGGATTCTGTTAGTGATCCGTTAATGACGTTTGATGAACCTGTTTGAGATACACATGTAAGATGTTTCCCGATCCCTCTATCACAACATGAATCGGGACACACCCCCACCTCAGGCATGAACGTGCAAAACGGAGAGGTGGGGCTATGTGGTAGGGGTGAGGGGTGAAATGGGATTGGGCCTTAAGGTTGTTGTAGAAGAAGTGAAAGATCTAAGGTACTTCTGTAGATCCTGAACCAGCACAAACTGACGACTACACTCTCTCTCTCACCTTCCCATCCTCTCCGATGCTGAAGACGGTGTTTTCATCGTAGCTGAACTCCACACTGTACACCTCCCCATCATGAGCCTTCCAGCTCATCACGCTCTCATAGCGCTGCATATCTGCACAAGACGGAGAGACTCAACTTCAATTCTTACACGTAAAAATGTGAAATACTTGTTCTTACTATTAAAGAACTAAAATTTCACTAGTGACACATCAGTTCAAACAAGTAATCATTTAAAGTTCTCTCATTTTATCTTTCTTTCCTTTAATCCCAAAACTTCTCTCACTTTCTCTCTGTCTTGTTCTCTCACCTTCTTACTCCATCTTTATTTCTCGCTTTTCCTTTTGCTCTATCCCCTTCTTTCTCTTTTATTCAGTAAAATCTCTCATACACTCTTTCTCTGTTATTATACAGGGTGATTCAAAAAGATTGATCCAATTTCAAAATGATTTATTTCACTTGTAAGTCATTATAGATCAATGCAGTAAACTGTAAATGGTTTAAATGAGCATAAAGTTTATTATGTAATTCTACAAGGTCTCAGTATGAACCTCCTCCAGCTGTACAGACAACATCAACACCATAGTCAAACTCATCCCATACTGGATTGAGCATGTCGGGTGTCGCTGCACTCACGGCTCTTTCAGTGCGATTTCGGAGATCATCCAGTGTTGTGGAACCAACGCCGAACGCTCTGAGCTGTTGGAGCTTCACTGCTGATGAAAATCACACTGCACAGTTATGACGGATTCACTCTTATTGAAGTGGAGAACGCAGAACGCTTTCTACTCAGGGGTCTCATCTCCTCTCAGACTGAAGGGGGAGCCATCTTCCACTGACCGTCAGAAACTCTATGACCCCCTCTTTTAATTGGATTGTGATTGGTTCCTAGACTCCTCACAGTTGTAAAAATATTGAATCTTTTTGAATCGCCTTGTATATCCAACATATTTCTCAAAAGAAAAAGTTGCCTTATGCCACCTCTAGTGGAAATACAACATTGAACACTGTGAATTCCTGCAGTGGTGTACTGTCAGTAAGCAGCGTCCCTCCCTCTGTCCCTTCTGGACCAGTTAATTGCCTTGACTTCTCAGATGTGCAAATGACAATAACTGAAGTAAAGTGAAAGAAGGTAAAATATCTGAGTATTCCTTAAAAGACAAAAATGCATAAGTGTTACCGAACAGGCGAATTCTGCCGTCAGCAGCTCCGGTCACCAGCAGGTTCCCGTTGTGATTGAAGGCGGTGCAGTTTACAGCAACGGGACCGGGCTCCAGAGCAAACTGCAGCTACACAACACAACACATAACTTCTTCACAATCTGACCAAACGCTCTGCAGGTGAAATATCATCTTCTAGGGCACGAGTCAGCCACCCGAATGTTAAGAAGAGCCATTTTGTCCTTTCAACAAAAAATCAAACCATCTTGGGAGCCACAACATTTTATGTCCATTTTACCATCTTGGCTGTAAAGATGTCTCAGTATGTGCTGATGTACTAGCATAGGTTAAAAATTATAATCTAAACAAAAACACAGACTTACTTTGCTCTGCTTTAAGCTTTAGCTCAGCTATAGCTGCTTTTCTCACATCTCCAGCAGGAAAATATTCCTCAAAAGTAGAACAGTTTCTTGTCTCTAAACGTTCAACTTTTTATAAGACTGAAGTCGCTTCTCATTCACCAGCTTCTTGTTTGAATTTTCCCATTCCACCTTAAATGATGCCTGAGGAGCTAGATAGTAACTGCTGCACCATTTAAGGTGGAACGGGAAAATCCGAATGAGAAACTGACTTCATCTTCGCGACTTTTTAGTGTTCGACAGTTTCTTGTCGCGGATTAAACGTATCAGGAAACCAGCTGGAGTGATTATAAACGCAAATAAGTCAGTTTGTCTCTAAATTATCAATGTTTGTCTTAAATCTCTCTCTTTGCCGTTTCGTTAGCTACTAGCTAGGCAAGATTGTTGTCTGCATTGCTATGGTGACCAGCAGTCTGTGCTGATCTTCAGGGTTAAAGGGTGAATCAGCAGTTCTACATTAACTCCAGAGTTTAAAACCATTTATTGTTAAACTGTGTTGAACGATCAGCAGAGCTTTATTTTACTGTAAAGGAGGATTATTTTATTTTTACCTACAAATCTGATTCAGCTGTGGAGCCTCAACAGGGCAGTAAAAGAGACACATACCGCTTTAGGGCTGCATGTTGCCGACCCATGTGCACAGGTAGAACCCTTCTCAGCCAATCAGACTGGCCTGTTCCTAACTCCTCTATAACAGTTGGTGACAATACCTGTTGTTTGACTGTCTTGGTGTCCCAGAGCAGTAGCTGCCCAGAGACGGGCAGAGAAGCACGAGGCACCGTCTCCGTTATGCTCCCTGGACGGGACATGTTGGCAGCCGCGGAGCACACGAAGGACGTCCCGCTGGGACTGCAGGCCAACGACAAGATCCTGCAAAACACATCTTTATGACCTTGGCTCTGATTGGCTGTCCTGGATTGTGCATTGTTTCTGGGATGAAACACTTCTTATGACTCCTGCATGAGTGGGCGGGGCTAAGCTACTGTGGGCTGAATGGGCAGATATTTTGGTTCTTGTGACATCATAAAACAACAGTGAATTCAAAACAGTTTTTGCAGCTTAGTTTTCAAATACGGAGGCTGTTGATTCCAGAGTGAATGGTATGTTTTGAATTTTTTATTTTTTTTTACATAATACATAAAAAAATAATAAATAAACAAACATTTTTTTTTAAATATGGGCCATGTAGAAATGAGTGATGTTACGCTCAGATATGAAAAGTGAACCTTTCAATTAATGAATCTGTTGTGTAAAATTACTAACATGCAGACAGTAAATTTATTGTGAAATATGATATTATAAGTGCTGTATTTATATCCAGCCAATAATTCAGCTGAGTCCAGTTAAACAACATTCAGAAAGCCCAGCTTTCAGAGATACACACTTAAAAATAAAAGGTTCTTCAAGGGTTCCTTAGCAAACAAAATTGTTTTATACAGAACTATGAACACAAAGAATCTTTTGCATGATTAACTGGTTCTTTTCATCATGAAAGGGTTCTTCAGATTGATGGAAAGGTGTTGTATATGGTTCTGTATAGAACATTTTTGAAAGGGTTCTATATAGCACCAAAAAAAGGGTTCTGCTATTGTTGCAATGTCAAGCTTGACACAATTGAAGAACCATTTATAGTGCTATATAGAACCCTTTTCAAAAAGTTTCTATATAGAACGATGAACACTCAAAGAACCTGTTGTATGACTTAATAGTTCTCTGCATCGTGAAAGCATTCTTCTGATTAATGTAGAATGTGTTGTATATGGTTCTATATAGAACCTTTCTGAAAAAGGTTCTACATAGAACCAAAAATGGTTCTGCTATTGTTATGATGAATATCCCTTTTTGGTGCTATATAGAACCCTTTTCAAAAAGGTTCTATATAGAACTTTGAACACTCGAAGAATCTTTTGCATGATTAACTGGTTCTTTGCATCATGAAACGGTTCTTCAGATTGATGGACAATGTGTTGTATATGGTTCTGTATAGAACATTTTTGAAAAGGGTTCTATACAGTACCAAAAAAAGGGTTCTGCTATTGTTGCAGCATCAAGCTTGACACAACTGAAGAACCATTTATAGTGCTATATAGAACCCTTTTCAAAAAGTTTCTATATAGAACCATGAGCACTCAAAGAACCTTTTGCATGACTTAATAGTTCTCTGCATCGTGAAAGTGTTCTTCAGATTAATGTAAGATGTGTTGTATATGGTTCTATATAGAACCTTTCTGAAAAGGGTTCTACACAGCACCAAAAAAGAGTTCTGCTATTGTTACGATATCAAGCTTGACACAATTAAAGAACTCTTTTTGGTGCTCTATAGAACCCTTTTCAAAAAGGTTCTATCTAGAACCATGAACACTCAAAGAAACTTTGGCATGATTTAATGGTTCTTTGCATTGTGAAAGCGTTCATCAGACTGATGGAGAACATGTTGTAGATGGTTCTATATAGAACTTTTTTTAAAAGGGTTCTGTAAAGCACCAAATAAGGATGTCAAGCTTGACACAATTAAAGAACTCTTTTCAAAAAGGTTCTATATACGACCACATACAACACATTCTCCATCAATATGAAGAACGCTTTCACAGTGCAACAAACCCTTTACTCGTGCAAAAGGTTCTTTGAGTGATCATGGTTCTATATAGAACCATCTTCTTTACTAAAGAACCCTTGAACAACCATCATTTTTAAGTGTTTAGGTTGGAACTCTGATGAGGCAAACTTTCAACATTTATAACTGAAAAACCACCGAAGGGACAGTTTTGCAATTTGGCACAGATACAGATCTGGTCGGTACTAGGTCAGTTAGAAGAGTTCAGACTGAATCACGCTGTGGAAGGCTGGTCACTCACCGTGGATGAGCCTCGTCTATGGTCATTTCGTACAGATTCTTCTTAGCCTCTGTATCATAGAGTCTCACCGTGCCGACGCCGCTGCCCAGCAGCAGCTGCAGACCAACCACAACATGCAAAGTAATATGTAGTAACGTGTTCTTTAACTCATACCATAACTAATATTGTTAAGCTTGTCATAAAAAGAGACATAAATAATCAAAAAAATCAAGCAGCAAGATTAATAACTAAGAAGTAGGAATATATTTAAAGACAACAGTGGCTATGCAAGAAGTTATGTGACGCTTCATAAGGATGCATGTGAACTTTTTGAGCAGGTAGCGTTGGTGCTGTAAAAGTTGCCAGTATTAAAGCACAAATAGAAGCACTGAGATAAAAACAACGTACAATGCTTATTAAAGTATTAATCTTAGTAAGTGTAACAAATTGTCATTTAACGGTGGAAAAAAACAGGCAATGTACACATAATGTACACAATACTTCAGATCCACCACAAGGGGGTGCTATTAGCACTGAAGTAGCATTTTTCTGCATTATTGAGTGAGAGAAAACCCACACCAGCAGAAATGTACGTATAGCTTGAATCATGAAGTTCAACATTAGAAGTGTAGTTTATTAAGTAAAGGTAAGGCTTAGACTGGCTTAATATATGAGTTTTTATTTAATCAGATAACTCTAAGAAAAAAAAAAACAATTCTAAAAATAAGGTGAACTGTAAAATCTTTATCGTAGGTGGCTTTACAACTGACATTACAACCCCAAACTACATGTTTTTTAAATATTTTTTATCACACTGTTAAAATGACAATTTGTTACACTTACTGGGATTAATACAACCCCACTTCCAAAAAAAAAAGTTGGGACGTTCTGAAAAATGTAAATAAAAATAGAATGCAATGAAAATACTACAAAGACAACATATCAAATGTTGAATTTTTTTTTTTAAATATATGCCCTTTTTGAATTTGATGCCAACACCATGTTCCAAAAAAGTTGGGACGGGGGCCTGTTTACCTCTGTGCTGCATCACCTCTTCTTTAACAACACTCTGTAAGTGTTTGGGAACTGAGGAGACACTGCTGTAGTTTTGAAAGTGAAATGCTTTCCTGTTCTTGTTTGATACAGGATTTCAGCTGCTCATCAGTTCAGGGTCTCCTTTGTTGTATTTTTCATTTCATAATGCACCAAATGTTATCAGAGGTGACAGATCTGGACTGCAAGCAGGTCAGTTTAGCACCCGGACTCTTTTAATACAGAGCAATGCTGCTGTAATACATGCAGAATGTGGTTTGGCATCATCTTGCTGAAATAATCAAGGCCTTCCCTGAAAAGGACGTTGTCTGGATGGCAGCATATGTTGCCAAAACATGTATATATCATTCAGCATTAATGGTGCCTTCACAGATGTGCCAGTCCCCCATGCCAAGTGCACTAATGCCCCCCTACACCATCATGAATACTGGCTTTTGAACTGTGCACTGATAATAAGCTGAGTGGTCTTTAGCCTGGAGGACACAGTGTCCATGATTTCCAAAAAGAATTTCAAATGTTGATTCATCAGACCATAGGACACTTTTCCACTTCACCTCTGTCCATTTTAAATGAGCTTGGATCCAGAGAAGGTGGCAGCGTTTCTGGATCCTGTTTATATCTAGTTTCTTCTTCGCGTTTTAGAGTTTTAACTTGCATTTGTGGATGCAGTGATGAACTGTGTTCACAGACAGTGTTTTTCAGAAGTGTTTCTGAGCCCATGCAGTGATTTCCACTACAGAATCATGTCTGTTTTTAATGCAGTACCCCCTGAGGGCCCAAAGATCACGGCCAGCAAATGCTGGTTTTTGGCCTTGTCCCTTACATACAGAGATTTCTCCAGATTCTCTGAATCCTTTAATGTTATTATGTACCGTAGATGATGAAAAGCAAAAGTTCTTTGCTATTTTATGTTGAGAAACGTTATTCTTGAATTGTTGCACTATTTGATCGTGCAGTCTTTCACAGAGTGGTGAACCCCTCCTCATCTTTACTTCTGAAAGACTCCGCCTCTCTGAGATGCTCTTTTATAACCAGTCTTGTTACTGACCTGTTGCCAATCAACCACCAGGTGTTTTTTTTTAGCATTACACAAATTTACCAGCCTTTTGTTGCCCCCGTCGCAACTTTTTTGGAACGTGTTATTGGCATCAAATTCAAAATGTGCATAAATTTTTCAAAAAACAATGAAATTTCTCATTTTCAACATTTAATATGTTGTCTTTGTACTATTTTCAGTGAAATATAGGGTTTAAATTATCTGCACATCATTGCGTTTTGTTCTTATTTACATTTTGCACAGCATCCCAACTTTTTTGGAAATGGGGTTGTAGTTTTAGAAGTATTTTATGATGTTTTTATCTATTTCATTCTTTAGTGTTGAAACTATCTGACGGACTACAACTACCATAAACACTACAACTTCACCTGCATCACAGTTTTCACTACACTTTTATAGCTGTAATCACCCAAGATAGCTGTTACTTTCTGAGTGCATTTCTCCATTTAAACTGATGGCGACTTGTTAGCACTCTCTTTTAATATGCGCTGACTGCTGAAGCTCATGTTCTAAAAATAAAAGGCAAACTAAACTGTGTGGATCAGGATTTGCGAGCCCTAATTTACCTCCAGCATATTTAATAATCATACTGTATTACTGTATTAAAGAAAAATGGAAGCAAGAATACAAGCAGGTGGTCTCTCACCAGTCTATCTGGTTTGGTGGCCCACTCCAGCGAAAGCAGAGGAGATTTGGACATGATGGTGGCTTTGGTCTGCATGAGGGGGTTAAAGGACCAAACTTTTACCACACCATCCACATCCAGACTGGCTACTCTTCGACCTGAACAGTCCACTCTGTTTAAAATGAACAAGTACAGGAATTAATTAAAATAAATAAAAACATTAAACACATATTTATACTTTATATTAGTAATATACAATTACTAATAATACATTAATGTCATAATATAATACACAAACATTACTACTACTACTAATAATAATAATAATAATATGTGTATTATGCATTTATAAAAAAGCTTACAGTATGTCTTAAAACAAAATAAAGAGCAAAGGTGAATACAGTAGTTGGGCACTTTTGTTTTTATTATTTAATAAACTTCCAGTGCATATATCCTCTTCACATTTACACGTCTTTTGACTAATAAACATGACTAAAAAAGGATTATTGTATTCATAAGCAGAAATAAAGACAAACTGACAAAAACTGATATGGAAAAAAGTATTCAGTCACCACAAATGAACAACATTAGTACTTTGTTGTTGGCAGTTACAGCTTTGAGACGGCTTAGCCACATATCATGATGCTCCCACCGTCATGCTTCACTGTGGGTGAAATTCTAATAAAATTAATATCCAGAATGAAGTTCTAATAAACTTAATATCCAGAAGGATATCCAGAAAAGGGATGTTTAAGTTCTCTGTTGTGGTTCTGTAGCTTCTTTCATTCGAGTGTTGTTTGATAACGTTCTCCTTAAGAGCTTTAGGAAGGTGCTTCATCTTCATGATGATTGCTTCCTAAGCAATGGCAACGTCTTTTATAATGACACCAGGTGCAATTTGGACGAGCATTTATTTATGGTAGTGTTTATATCTAGAACTTGATTAGATAAAAAACCTTTCTAGGTATGTGTGAAATGTGTAAACAACTTTTTCTATCTATCACTTTTTTTAACATATTTATTTATTCTTAGAAATACATATTTATTAGTATTTTACTCGTATTTGCAAGTGCAAAGCCAAAAAACATCATGTGTGTAAATCTGAAGTGGACACACGTACTGGAAGCAAATTAAACAACAAAAACAAAAGTTTCTGAATATTTGTTCACCCTTAGTGTATAAAAGTTAATAAAGTTTGATTTAAAAGTGAAGGTTAATAAAATATAAGTCTTGGTTTCAAAAATCCTCACAAAAGGTTCCAGTAGCTCTAGAACCAGCAGGCAGCACCGGTCACCTCATTCAGACCGTTTATCGATGCCTACCTGCAGTGCATGATGGACGAGTGATGCTCTCCGTACTCCTCCTGACTGAGCTTGATGAACGGTTGCTCCGCCCCCGCCCCTGCTCCGCCCACTTCGCCTCCAACTCGCGCCTGATTGGTAGGCAAGTCTGAGGTTTCACTCTCAGGCTGAGTTTCTGTGTCCGAACTTTCTGCTTTCTTCTCAGAACTCTGTACACAAACACACAGAGACAAAGAATTCAATTTAGATACTGAATAATTTGTAATAGATACTGAATAATTCATAATAGCTGTGGAATAATTCATAGTAGTTACTGAATAATAAGTTTTTCCTTCACTACAGTGTCTCGTTTAGTAAAAGCAGAACATCACTCAGCAGTTTTAAGAACCGTAACTATATATCAGGAACCGTAAGTTTAAACATGTTCTCTAAGCGTGTTAGACCTGTGCTGGCTGTTTGGAGAACAGTTCCTTCCTCTCCTTCTCATGGTCCATCTGTCTCTTCTGTCTGGAGTGACCAGTGCCCTGCTCTATGGTCACCACCATCTTGGAATCCTTTGAGGCTGTAGGGTCCTTCGCCTTCACAGCCTGGAGATCAAAGACACAGTTTAAACTGTTTTTCTCAGAATCAACATTAGAACTATTGATCAAACCAGCCTTCAGTGATTGTTCTGAAGTGGGAGTTAGATCTGCACAGGCACTTCTGTTCACATTCAAATCTGGAATCATCATTCAAAATGATTCAAATTTCTCATTAAATTAATATCCGGAGTGAAGTTCTAATAAAACTACTATCCCAAATGAAGCTACAGTAAAATGAATAACCACAATAAAGTTCTAATAGAATTAATATCCAGTGAAATTCTAGAAAATTAATATCCAGAATGAAGTTCTAATAAAATTTATATCCAGAATGAAGATTTAATAAAAATAATATCCAGAAGGAAGTTCTAATAAAATTATTCTCCAGTGAAGTTCTAATAGAATTAATATCTAGAATGAAGTTTTAATAAAATTAACATTCAAAGTTCTAATAAAATGTATGTCCAGAATAAAGTTCTAATAAAAGTAATATCCAGAATAAAGTTCTAATAAAAATTTATATTCAGAATGAAGTTTTAATAAGCTTAATATCCAGAATAAAGCTAGAATAAAATTAATGTACAGAATAAAATTATAATGAAATTGATAAGCAGTGAAGTTCTAATAAAAGTAATATCCAGAATAAAGTTCTAATAAAATTAATTTACAGAATTAAGTTCTAATAAAACTAATATCCCAAATGAAGTGACAGTAAAATTAATATCCACAATAAAGTTCTAACAGAATTAATATCCAGTGAAATTCCAATAAAATTAATATCCAAATTGAAGTTTGAATAAAATTAATATCCAGAACGAAGTTCTAATACAATTCATATCTAAAATGAAGTTCTAATAAAATTAATATCCACAATGAAGTTGTAATAAAATTAATTTCCAAAACAAAGTTTTTCTACTCTAGCTTTACTCTAGCGTTCTAATAAAATTAATATTCAGAATGAAGTTCTAATAGAATATCTAGAACTGTTTTATAAAATTAATATCCAGAATAAAACTATAATGAAATTAATATCCAGTGAAGTTCTAAAAAAATGTATATCCAGAATGAAGTTTTAATAAAATTAATATCCAGAATAAAGTTTTTTATAAAAATATTACAATCCAAAAATAAAATTATAATAAAATTAGTATCTGGAATAACATTTTAGTAAGATTAATAAATTAATAAATTTATTAAGTGGTAACAAAATTAAAATCCTAACTGATGCAGTAATAAAATAAATAAACAGAATGAAACTGCAATAAAATTAATATTTAGAATGACAATAATATTCATAATAAAACTGTAATAAATTTAATATCCAGAACACCTTTTATTTCAAATGTGGTAACTTCACAGAAAACTCTAAATATATGACAATATAATTACGCCATTTATTTCATAACTGAATATATTCATGATACTTAAAATATTGACTGAGACTACATTGTTTATATACTTACTGTTAGATTTAAAATGACAGAATGTATTAATATGGACTCACAGTAGTCGAATTAGAAGATAAAGACTCAGCAGAAACAGACAGTTTGGAGACAACAACAACGACAACAACAACACTGAGTGGGGTGGGCTTGTCCCCATAGCTACTCAGACTCTTACCTGACTGGCTGCGGTGTCCTTCCTGCCGAGGGCTGCCTGGGTGGGGGAGGAACCCGGGGGTCCCTGCGGGGTTCGGGTCGTGGCTCTTCTGCCCTGGGGTAAGAAGGTGGAGAAGAAGTTTCTGGAAGGCGTGGAGGGGTTAGTGGCGCGCTGACTCGTCACCAGATCCCTGTGACCAAAAACATCACACACACACACACACACACACACACACACTTCACTCTCCTTAACATGCAAAAACACACCGTCACACACTGCTCTCTCCTCCTCACTCACACTGTCCACTCTGTCATCATCTGCTCTCTGGACGGATAAATCAATGCACCCCCACAATCCCTGGAAACAATAAGGTCTGTGTGAGCACTGCTGCTTTCTGAGAAGCAGCTGTTTGCAACATAAGAATGTTAAAGGAGAACTCCACCAAAATAGTATTTTAGTGTGAAATGGTTCAGATGTCTTTACAGTGGTGGTGATAGGAACCAGGGGTCGCCATGACTACAACACAAATATAGACATTTTATTTACTATCCAGAACCACCAGTGAACCTACACGAGTCTTCTGAGTTTATATGGAATGTTGATGATGGAAAATAGTGGAAAATCTGAAATAATAAGTTTCCTTTGGGGACTATTTTGCCTCACAGCGCCCTGCATGTATCCCTCCACCATGAATGGAGTTTAAGTTCTCTAAACTATCATAAAACAGTGTCTCAGTCATCAGGCAGTGAATTCATAACCATTTCATGCAGTAACTTTCTGTGAGGGAGCTTTTAGAGGTGGACGTCTGGTTCCTGTCACCACCACTGTGAACAGTTCTGACTCTCTGTTTACATCTTAACCAGTTAATTAAGCAGATTTCAAAATAAAAATAGTGGAATTTCCCTTTAAGATCGTCTTGTGACCTTAAAGTGATAATGGAAAATCAAATTCACCCCAAATGTAGTCGATCAGTTAAGACATGTTTGGTGTTTGCATGTTTAGTCTTTGCCCTGGAGATATGAGGCACACGACTTGGGAGACAGATTACCATTACTTTTGCATAAGTTTTGGCACCCTGGTCAAATTACACATTTTGTTGATTTTCTAAGTCAAAATAAGTTCAAACATCCTTAAAAGAGAACTTAAGTATTACATTTTCCAGCATGTTTTATCACACATTTTAATTTACTGGCTGAATGTAACACTGTGGCAGAAGATAAACATAAATGCTTGTACATACCACATTTTATCTTTGCATTACTTCCAATATGTTAGAGCATATTTAGCAAATAAACGATAATTGTGTATTAAAATGTGTATTAAAACTTATTTACTCTTTGAAAAACAACATGTGGTTCGACCAGCATTTAAAGACTGCACGTTGGCCTCGTAGCTCCAGCGCTACAACTAAAGAAGCAAACATGTCATGACTGACTGGCTACAGGTGCAAAATTTATGAACTACTCCTTTCAGCAGAAGAAGCTCTGCCTACTTTTAGAGATTTTATGACAGAAAGACTAAACCATTACTAATTTAAAGGTCCTTTTCATGTATGACTAATGTGCTCTATAAGCTGCCAGCCTTCGGTCTGAAGAGCTACATAACTAACTAACTAACTAACTAACTATGTAGTCTACATATACACTTTCATGCAAATGTTTGAACACCCCTGGTCAAATTACAAGTTAATACACATTCTCTAAAGGAAGCAAACTTAAATATGGCTTAAAGATTACAGTGCACAATTGCTGTGTATTTGAGGCTTATTGCATACTAAGGCTTATTATTCAGTAGCTACAGGGACTTCAGTGCAAACTGGCTGAGCTATTCTTAAGTTATAGATGTTTGTAATAAAACTTTGGGCCTACCAGTTGGGCTGGGCTACTTAAAAAAATTAAACACAAAACATAAAATGTGCCCTAGCTTTAGCCCAGGCTAAATTTTATGTTTTATTCTCCTCCAAAAAATGTGTATTAAAATGTAAAGACGTGTGTTCCCTGTAGAGGATGTGTTCACTTATTTTTTACAAAATCAACAAAAAGTCATTCGACCAGGGGCGCCAAAACTTTTGCACACGTCTTGTGCCCCAGGTCCTCGATTCCAGACCTTAAATCAAATCCTGGATTTTGTAATTATGAGACAAGATGGCCAATCGTTTACATCAACATTTCCTTTAACTACTGGTATGTACCAAATCCAGGACTGGATCCTGGACTGAAGGTCCAATGAAAAGAGTCAATAGAGAAGCCCAAGGTAAGGCATAATAAGCAAGACTGGGCAGCTGATCAGATTCAGCTAGAAATCTAGCTGGAACAAAAAACAGAAAGCTGAGAGTTTCTGGCAAAAACAAGTCAGAAAAACAAGACCGTAGACCGTCGGGAGAAAAACCACAGTTCAAGTGAATTTTTATTCCCTGTTAAAAGCTGGTTAGTACCAGTCGTGTAATAAGTTAGTTGTCTGAAGTGTATATACAAAGGCTGTAGTGAAATAAAAACACCCCGCCCCCAAAACGTCCCGGTCTGAAAGTGGCCCTCACAGCTCTGTGTCACCCAATCTGTCCATGTGCTGGACGTAGGCGGGCAGTTTGTGATGCACCATCTCCTCGGACTTCTTGGGCTTCAATTCTCCTTGGAGTGCAAACAACTGAAAAGTAGAACACAAAAGTCAAATATTAGCTTTCTGGCTGTGCAGTGTATATATATACACTTTGTTACCCTGTTCTTCAGTGGTCAAGACCCCCACAGAGCACTGACATGTTAGTGTGTGTTGTGCTGGTACGAGTGGATCAGACATAGCAGTGCTGCTGGAGTTTTTAAACACTGTGTCCACTCACTGTCCACTCTATTAGACACTCCTACCTTGTCAGTCCACCTTGTAGATGTAAAGTCAGAGACGATAGCTCATCTGCTGCTGCACAGTTTGTGTTGGTCATCCTCTAGTCCTTCATCAGTGGTCACAGGACGCTGCCCACAGGACGCTGTTGGCTGGATATTTTTGGTTGGTGGACTATTCTCAGTCCAGCAGTGACACTGAGGTGTTTAAAAACTCCTGCAGCACTGCTGTGTCTGATCCACTCAGACCAGCACAACACACACTAACACACCACCACCACGTCAGTGTAACTGCAGCGCTGAGAATGATCCACCACCCAAATAGTACCTGCTCTGTGAGGGTCCATGGGGGTCCTGACCACTGAAGAACAGGGTAAAAAGGGGGCTAACAAAGTATGCAGAGAAATTTCTATTTCTGCTTAGTTCATAACATCCATAATACACTGATAATATTAATCAATGCAGTGTGTGCTAAACTTTCAGTGACTGTATGAATGTAAAAACGCTTTACTATCTGCCGCAGCTGTTCGTTCTCCTCCTGGATGCTGGTGGTCCTCTGCACCTCCGCATCAAAGCTCAGGAGGACTGGCTGGGGTGGGAACATTAAGGAGCTTTATGGAAACTTATCATCAACAGTCAGAACCACCTTTATTAGAAACACCTATCTTCTACTTCCACTCACTGGCCACTTTATTAGAAACACCTATCTTCTACTTCCACTCACTGGCCACTTTATTAGAAACACCCACCTCGTGCTATCACTCACTGGCCACTTTATTAGAAACACCCTCCTTGTGCTTCCACTAACTGGCCATTATATTAGAAACACCAACCTTCTACTTCCATTCACTGGCCAGTTTATTAGAAACATCTACCTTGTGCTCCCACTCACTGGCCACTTTATTATATTTTCTCACTATATCAGAAAGAGAAGCTCTGTGGTCAGAAACTGACCACTGATGAAGGGCTAGAGGATGGCTAACCCACACTATGCACCAACAGTTGCTTCAGTCTCTAACTGAAAGCTCTACAAGGGAGGGGTTTCTAATAAATTGGCCATGAAGTGTTTTCCAGAAATGTTAGACCCTAAAGTGTCATCCATTAACTGCAATAAGAACATGGTTAAAGTCAGGCAGTAGTGACGATGAAAGGATATGCATGCACTGGAAGAGAACGCTGAGGAAGTTGTGGAGCGAGACGAGGAAAGTGTCGGCCCACTGGCGGGAGAAATACGGAGAAAAGGCTGGATTCTGTTCCGGCACAGGGATAAAGGGCAAAACGAACCAATCCCGCCACTCCGCCTGCCCCTGCAGCTCCGCCGCCTGCTTCTGGAAGAACTCCTGAGTCTTCTCCTGATTCTTCATCTGAGGAGGAGAAACAAACAGTAATCCTACTCATCAACTCTGAACATGAAATACCATGTCAACAACGTAAGTATGAACAATTATCATGCTAAACTGTAGCCACGCTCCTCATGGACCTGGCTTGTAACCAGAGAACTTGTAGAGAGGAGAATTACACTCTGTAATGTCTTCCAGGTTTCTCAAACACTAGAGGGCGCTCCTGAGTGAGTCCAAAATGAATGGGTTGATATGATGCCTTTGAGTAAAATCATAGTTTATAAATGCTCAAATATTTTATTATAAAATAATACAATCATTATATTGTTAAGAGCTTTTAAACTCAAGTTATAGGAGTTTAAAACAGCGCCTCATGTACGTCCATGATGTCTGTGAGCGTGAACAGCCAATGAGCTGCTCTGCTCGCCAACCAATCAGCTCTCAGTAGCAGTAATATTAGCGTTCTGCTGCCCAAAACCTGTTTACTGTAGAAAAAAAGGAAACATACAGGTGAGTTTTCTTTGCTTTTTTTTACTGAAATTCATCCTTCTACTTTCTAAAATTTTTAAAATTAAAGGAAGGTTCTGGGCGAGTGTTTAGAGACTATTGTAACAGTTCATTTTTAGCCGTTGAGCTTCATTCACTCCCATTCATTGTGGACTCGCTCGCAGGCGCCCTCTGCTGATTTGCAGCCCTGTTTTTGATGTAATGGGGGAAATAGGAAGAGGCCAAGCTCCTCATAAACTGGCTCTGTTGTAACTCATCCGCTCTTTTTTAATAAGACAGTCCACAAGGGGGAGCTACTGGCACTCTTGTAATTAGACTGAAAACAGCCTTGTGTTGGCTGAAATGAGTCTACTGAGCATTGTGGACACACAATACGTCATCATTTCTGAGACTTTTGGGGGGTACATGCCGCTGCTAAGGCTTGTTATTTGAAACTGCGTTAAAGCTGAGAGGTATTAATATATTTACTTTACAAAGCAATACCTGCAGCTAATACTGAGACTAAACCCAAATGCTCTACTAAAGTCTCAAGATCTGACTTGGATTAATCAACTTGCAAGCATTTCTGTGATTTTTCTGTTTGCATAATCTTCCTATTTCCACACTTAACTCTTGACAGAGGCTTGTGTCGTTCTTGCAGCACAAGCTGCTACTACAATCTCAGAAATAAAGGTACTAAACTGTCACTGGGTCAGTTCCCCTCTTGTCACTGGGGTGGAACCCTCAAGGGTCCATCTCAGTACCTTTAGTCAGGGAACATAACTGAACCATAATCCACTGAAATGATATGTTCTAAGCTGTACTGACTCCACACACCCCGTCTCGTCTCCAGGCTTTTATTTTACTGTTCTGTTTAAAACATTCGGTTATGAAAAGGTACAAATACGAACTTTTCACCTGGAAAAACTCATTTAAGGTTCACAATCAGACCTTAAAACCACTGTTGAACCTTTGAGGGAACATTTACATTGTTTGTACCTTGATGAATGAAAAATGTACCTGAACAGAACCTTTATTAATAACAGTGTAATAACAGCGAATGAACAGGTGTCACATTTTCTCCGTATTTATGAAGGTTATGGTCACAAATGCTGCTTCTAGATCAGGACTTCTGCTCCAGAGGCTGTTTGTGAATACAGATCCTGTTGTCTAAAGTGGTTTATTTTCATACATCACAAGAAGTCATACTGTGTCCTGAACCACCTGGAAGATGTTTTGAGGGTGTGGTTTTACAGAAACGATTTGGGTGACTATTGAGTTCTATTGTTTGTTAGCAGTGTTAGCCTTGATACTCCAGTTCTACACTAAAGAAGCAAAATCTGGGCTAGAAACGTCTTGGCTGCTTGACTACATCTGACGTAAGTGATTAAAATTAGATTTTTGACCAAAATGTCTTTAAAACAATCACCAAGAAGAAGGTTTATTTTTTTATTACACTTATTCAATGTGTCTTTATTTTCCTTCAACATACTGTGTGAGATAAAGAATACATGTGAGGGATGGATCTGGATTTTATACTATGATAAGCTTAAAAAATTAGCCCGGCATCGTATAATGGCAAACGTAACAGAGCACTTTTGTCCCAGCCAAATTTCTGACCAATCAAAAATGCAAAGACCACCCACGTGTTTTGCTTGGTGCACTTTAACCATTGCAATGTGATAACTAATGGAAAAGACACGACATCATAAAAACCCAAACTCTAGTTTGGACTGTAGGGCTAAATGATTTGGGGGAAAATATCTAATTGCGATTTCTTATAAACTGAGATTCAAACCTGATTTATTTTGTCCAAGAAGACCAGAATATCCACCTTTTTTGGCTCGAGGTTTGACCCCTGGACATACTGTGCAAAACTGCCAGGGAGTTGTGGTTGTGATATCAAAAACACATGGAGGTTTGGTGGCCTCTGATTGGTCTAACTCATCTACAGGCAGTTCACAAGCTCTTAAAACTTTAGTAAAGGCAATGCTTTACCTGTACGGTGTGCACGAGGTAGTAGCGGAAGAGGCTGGTCCTCAGCTTGTTGACCGTGGGCCTGTAGACGTCCTCCAATCTACAGAAGAGCCTGCGGTCCAGGTAGCCCCAGTACTCCTTCAGTCCGGCCAGGTCATAGCTCTGAATGAACTGCTGGAGCTGGTCGATTATTTTATCAACCTGTGGCAAAACAGCACTTATTAATGTGGATATATGGAAGATTATCTGTATTATTATTAATGAATCACATAATAATAACAACAACAATAATAAAAAGTATGAAAATATTCATGAAAACAATAATGCAGTGTAAAACTATTTCTTAGACAGAAAAAACAAGCAATTCAATAATAAATAAAACTTATTTGTGTACTTTCATATTTATAATAATAAATATGAAATTACAGTAACAGTAATTCTTTGAAAAGAGTGCACTTTAAGTATGAATATATGCTTAACTATATTCTTCTTAACCTTAAATATATCAACGTAACGCTCATCGTCAACAATACATATTATTTTACATGATAATTAAAAATCCTTTTCATTAAATAAAACTAATTTTAACATCAATCCTTTGCCCAAAAGTATATCTGCTTCTATATTAATAGAAAACATCCATTTAATATAAAAACACTACTTATAAGAATAATATAATAATTTTACTGTGTTATTTTCTGATTTTATTAAACATTGATAATTGTTGTTTTCTCCATCCTTGACATGGTTGATCAAGAATATCATGTCCACCCTGACTTATGGTCATTTTTTTGGAATATTCACAGCAAAGTCATTTAATTCACGGTTGAAAATGGACTGACGTCAGATGGTCTAAACCTTGATTAAAGTTGAGGCTTTGATGCTTTTTTGGCAGTTTAGGAACTATATGTGTGCAGGGTGGTGCAGGTTATAAGGCTTCGGAGTCAACATCATGCTGTATTATGTGATCATTCCGCCATATTGGCAGGGTTTATTCTTTGTTTACATGCTGCAAATGCACACACTCAACGTAAGACTCAGAGAGAGATTGCTGTTTTATTGTGTTTTTCAGGCATTTCATGCTTAAAAGTGAATCAGTGGAGTGTATCTTATAACATCTTATGGATGGCGAGTGGAGTAAAGCTCTACATGCAGCACTTATTTAGTAATCTAGAAATGTCAAGTCACTCGAAGCACATGTACAGTTTCCAAGTGGCTATTCCACTCAGCTACTGCAGATTCAACCTAGTTACTGGTGTATTTCACTCAGAGCCTGTTTACACCTTGCATCATCACGTCTTCCGTGTCTGGATGGACATCCAATTGCACTTTCATTTCACTGTTTATTGTCTCACAAGCCAGTCAGCACTCAGCAGACTCAATTCCACTCACTTAGTTATACACGGATAAAGGAAAGGCTTTCTATTTACACTTGTGTTAAACGTGGTCAGGATCCCTCTCTCACCACCTCAGACTGTGATTTAAGTAATCTGATTGTAATCCAATCACAATGAATCCTAGGTGTGTTTACATCTGGCTTTGCATGCGGTCAAGTGAAATCCTTGATTTGATTATAAGCATATATAACCAGAGAGGATTCGTATGATCCTTGATGTAAAATAGTTACTGGCATATTTCACTGAGTTATTAGGATATTTCACATATTTATTAGCATATTTCACTGAGTTATTAGGATATTTCACATATTTATTAGCATATTTCACTGAGTTATTAGGGTATTTCACATATTTATTAGCATATTTCACTGGGTTATAGCATATTTCACTCAGATATTGGCATATTTCACATATTTATTAGCATATTTTACTCAGGTATTGGCTTATTTCACTCAGTTATTAGCATATTTTCCTCCATTATTAGCATATTTCACTGAGTTAACGGCACATTTCACTCAGTTATTAACATATTTCACTCAGTTATTGACATATTTCACTCAGTTTTTAACATATTTTCCTCAGTTATAAGCATATTTCACTCAGGTATTGACACACTCTATTATTAGCATATTTCACTCATTTATTAGCATATTTCAATATTGTATTCAATATGGTATTGGCATTTGTCACTCGGTTACTGGCATATTTGACTTAGTTATTAGCATGGTTCACTCAGTAATTAGCATATTTCACTCAGCCACTGGCATATTTTACTCAGTAATTAGCATATTTCACTCAGTAATTAGCATATTTCACTGAGTTATTTGTATATTTCGCTCAGTTAATGGCGTACTCTGCTTGAGGTTTAAACTGAAGGGGCAGTCAGTCTAAAGTCTTCAAGATGAACAGACAAATGCTAAGAGTAAGATTTAAAATATCACATCCACTAAACGATGAAAGCTTTATTATATTAATGAGCTGATCATCTCACCAACCAATCAGCTCTCAGTAGCAGGTTTCAGACATTTTACTCCATTTACATGCAGTTTGTGACTGCAATCATAATTCATGTGCTTTCTTTCGTTCACTGCAGCTTTAAGCTTCACGCTCTGCACATGCCTTTTTCAGGTAACTAATGTAAGTGATATAAATGTTAAGATGAGTTTAGATGCCCATGTATTGAATAGCTACACCTATCCCTATGAAATAATAGATCAGAAAGCTGAGATTCGGTTATATTTCTCATAAAATATAACTTTAACATGGATACTTAGAAAGAAATGTCTTGCCACAGGCCGTACTTTGTACACCAATGCAGTACACTTCAGCAATTTGGTTACATTTCCATTTTGGGGAGAATATGTTTACACTGCACCCAACAGTGCAGTGAGGGAGCACCAATATGGCAGCCAAATGGCTTCACTTCGGTGTGTATATAGTGGTGCCATCAGCAAACTCAGTCTCTAAACATATCTGTGATTATGACCCCACACAAACCTTTCTTTCCAAACAGTTTTCTGATAATCCTCTGACAATTCCAGCCTTCATAAGCTGATATTTTATTTCCTGCCAATGGAAAACTTAATATAATGGTCTAAAGGTCAAACCAACCAGTGGAATAATGTTTAAGCTCCTTTCCTTGAATATGCAGGACAGAATTTATGAGCCATGTTGACAAATTAGGAAGAGGAATTCCACTTATTTGTCAAATTGTTTGCATAATTCAGTGTGTGAGATGGAAACAGAGTGACTCAGAGTGGTTTGGTGTGAAACGGTTCAGATGTCTTTACAGTGGTGGTGATAGGAACCAGGGGTCGCCATGACTACAACACAGATATAGACATTTTATTTACTATCCAGAACCACCAGTGAACCTACACGAGTCTTCTTTATATGGAATGTTGATGATGGAAAATAGTGGAAAATCTGAAATAATAAGTTTTCTTTGGGGACTATTTTGCCTCACAGTGCCCTGCATGTATCCCTCCACCATGAATGGATAAAATTGGTTTAAAATACATTTTAGGCCAAAATTTTATCACCTTAAATAAACGATTTGGTCATCAGGCAGTGAATTCATAACCATTTCATGTAGTAACTTTCTGTGAGGGAGCTTTTAGAGGTGGACGTCTGGTTCCTATCACCACCACTGTGAACAACTCTGACTCAGCAAGTCTCTCCACACTCTTAAAAAGATGGTTCTTCAAGGGTTCTTTAGTAAAGGGAATGGTTCTATATAGAACCATGAACACTCAACGAACCCTTTGCATGCTTAAATAGTTCTTTGCATTGTGAAATCGTTCTTCAGATCAATGGAAAATGTGTTGTATATGGTTCTATATAGAACCATTTTTGGAAAGGGTTCTATATAGCACCAAAAAGCGTTCTGCTATTGTGAAGATGTCAAGCTTGTAACCATAGAAGATCCCTTTTTTATACAGAACCCCCGAAAAAAGCTGTAAACAGAATCATAAACAACACGTTCTCCATCAATCTGAAGAACCGTTTAACTATGCAAGAACCCTTTAAGCATGCAAATAGTTCTTTGAGTGTTAATTGTTCTATATAGAACCACTTTCTTTACTAAAGAGACTTTGAGGAACCATATTTTTTTAAGTGTGTAGAAGAGAGCATTTCACACCAAACCACTCTGGATGACTTTGTTTACCTCACAACCACTGAATCAAGCAGAAATTTTTAAAAACCGGTGGAGTTCCCCTTCAGTGTTAAAGGATGGGAGAGTGTGAGGAACTGAAGGCAGAGCGCTGCTCAGAGCTGCCTACCCGAAATCCTTTCTCCTTGTCGGCTTTGATTTCCACATCCAGGTGCTTGAGGGTGCTGGTGAAGCCTCTGTAGATCAGATATTCCCTCACAATATCATCCGTCCTCTCCACAGCAGCTGCCATGTTCACATGTCCCTGCAGGAGACGCAGCAAAACGCCTTTAAAGAGGAGTTTTACAGGATCCGAGCAGCTTTTCGCCATTAAACTTTCCAGATTACACATGTTTATGAAAATAATCAGCAAGCTTGCAGAAGTGTGAGGTAATATTACCAAGATAACGCAGTCAAATGAGGCTACAGTGGACTTCTTCGAATTTTCCGTTCCACCTTAAACTGTGCAGTAGTTCCGTTCTGGCGCCTGTGCAGGGAACGTAACTGCTGCGCCATTTAAGGTGGAACGGAAAATTCAGCCTAGCGCAGTTCCTGCACTCAGCAGGCTCGTTCGGCCAAAGCGAGACACTGTTTATTATAATATAGCGGCTTCGTTATTTACAAAACGGCATTTATGCTGTTAAAAATGTGAACTTACCACAGGAAGATTACGGCGTTCAGATGTGCCGAAACGCTTCCTATTTTCGAGCCCCTTGTGCTCGTCATGTGATTCAGCTCAGAGCAGGTCAGCTGATCCTGAGTGCGTTTCTCCGTCTGGCCAGCAGAGGGAGCTTTCAGCCCTGCCAAATAATTTCCAGGGTAAGGGAGTTTTTTTTTGGCCCTTCTCTCTCTCTTTTGCCCCTCCCTCTCTTCCCCTCTCTCTCTCTTTTTTGCTTCTCTTTTTCTCTCTCTTTTGCCCCTTCCTCTGTTTTTCCCTCACTCTCTTTCTTTTCTCTCTCTCTGTCTCACTATCTCTTTTGCCCCTCTCTTTTTGCCCTCCCTCTCTCTCTCTCTCTCTCTCTCTCTCTCTCTCTCTCTGCCCCTTGCTCCGTCCCCCCTCGCCCCTCTCTTTTTTGCCCTCTCTCTCTCTTTGCCCCTTCATCTGTTTTCCCCTCACTATCTCTCTTTTCTCTCTTTCTGTCTCACTCTGTCTTTTGCCCCTCTCTTTTTGCCCTCTCTCTCTTTTGCCCCTCCCTCTCTTCCCCTTTCTTTTTTTTTTCCTTCTTTTTCTCTCTCTTTTGCCCCTTCATCTGTTTTCCTCTCACTCTCTTTTTTCTCTCTCTCTACCTCACTCTCTCTTTTGCCCCTCTCTTTTTACCCCCCTCTCTCTCTCTGCCCCTTGCTCTGTCCCCCCTCGCCCCTCTTTTTTGCTCTCTCTCTCTTTGCCCCTTCATCTGTTTTCCCCTCACTCTCTCTTTTCTCTCTCTCTGTCTCACTATCTCTTCTGCCCCTCTCTTTTTGCCCTCCCTCTCTCTCTCCCCCCTTGCCCCTCTCTGTTTTGCCTCTCTCTCTCTCGCCCCTTCCTCTGTTTTTCCCTCACTCTTCTCTGTCTGCCTCACTCTCTCTTTGCCCCTCTCTTTTTTGCCTGCTCTGTCTCTCTCTGTCTGTCTCTCTCTCTTTCTCTCTCTCTCTCTCTCTGTCTCTCTCTCTCTCTCTCTCTCTCTCTCTCTCTCTTTTCCCCTCTTTCTTTTTTGCCTCTCTCTCACTCTCTCTCTTTCTTTTCCACCTGTTGGTCAGTTACTGGGTTATGATCTTTCACTGTTTCTGAATGTAACGGCCCCTCATTATTATTCTTTCATTATTAGACATTACTGTATTAGTGATGTACTGAATGAGGGTTAAAACATAGAGAAAGATGAGAGGTCCTCCTTGTGTGTTGTCACCCAGGCCTGTCTCCTAATGTTTGTGTGTGTGTGTGTGTGTGTGTGTGTGTGTGTGTGTGTGTGTGTGTGTGTGTTGGCTGAGTGTGTGTCAGTGTGATGTGTTCAGTGTGTGTTGATGTGTTTCCCTCGAGCAAAATGAGAGAACATCGACTTCACTTCTGCTCAATCAGAGAGCATTCACACACACACACACACACACACACACACACATACACACACACACACACACACACGCTTCATGTAAATATATCTCTGAAATCAGAACTAAATCCAACACTAACTTTCTCATAAGCTGTGATAAAAACTATGGACAGTGCAGGCCGACATTCAGAAAAACACCACTCACTGCTGTTGGTTCTAAGCACTGTAGTCCGGATCAGAGTATGTGAGAGGTGCGGAGCGGGAGCGGAGAGGGAGCAGTGCAGCGTGATTTTGCCCGGAGCGCGAACGGTTGGAGCGCCGTTGTTCTCTCTTGGTCCGAAATCTCCCCGGTGCTGCTCCATCCCGCGAGCCAGGCTGTCTTTTTTTTCCACACTGACTGTCTCTGCATGTCATGAATGACGCAGCAGTGACTGCACAGCTCACACACAGCGTCTGCGCCGCGGAGCTGTTCAGCAGATCTACATACTGTAGATTCTCACCCACACAGTTAGGCCGTTTTCACACTTGTCCCGAATACTTGAGTCGACACCCAGACCTTGTTCTGGGCTCGTTTGAAGGAGGGGCTCATTATTGCTGGTTTGCTTTCACACACAAGAATTCCATCCGAACCGTGGATTGATTGCATAATTCCATACGTCACTTTTCTGCTGCAGGTTTGCAGAATGTTCAGCACTGGCTTCATCCGTTTGTTAATTTTTAATCATTTTTCTCAGATGCAAACACTCAAGTGATGAAGAACAGTGATTTTTGTCTACAACAGTTCTTTCCTGCCTTCATGAAACTTGAAAAGGGAAGTGATGCGATAAATTGTAGCAGTCATGTTACAAAATGAACCAATTGCAGCGCCGGGAGTGGATACCTTCCTCAGGCGCAGCAGACCACACCTGAGTTCGCTAGAAGCGAGCCCCGGACCATCGATTTCAGGAGGAAAGCTCGGTCCTCTGGACTCGATAACAACGTTCACACTCGACCAAACATACCGAATTCTTGGGTCCACACCTAGGATGGATTCTGGGCTCATTTTGGGGGAGGGGCTCGTTATCTCTGGTTTGCTTTCACACACAAGAATTCCATCTGGATCGATTGCGCAATTCCATACATCACTTTACTGCTGCAGGTTTACAGAATGGCCGGCACTCTCTCCATCTGTGTGCTGCTTTTTTATTGTTTTCCTTGGATACAACCAGTCGAGCGGCGAAGAACAGTGATTTTCGTCCACAACAATCCTCTCTGGCTGTCACGAAACTCGAAAAGGGAAGTGAGGTGATAAGTCAAAGCAATTACGTTACAAAATGAACCAATCACGCCACCCCACACCAATCAAAATGGAACCAATCACACAGACCGCACTGGAGTTCGCTTCAAGGAGAGCCCAGACCACCGATTTCAATAGGACCAGAGGTCGGATCTCTGGACTTAAAAACAGCTTTCAGACTCTACCAAACGTACCGAACTCACAGAGCAAGCAGTCCCGGGTCCGGAAAAAACCTCCAGTGAGAAAACACCCTTAGCCTTGTGTCGTCTGTGATGCCGTCTCATCACTCTTGTGCGTACGCCCACCCCAAGAGAGTTCATTGATAACATTGACATTGTCGCCGTCCAAAGAAAACCATGCATCTCCGTTTTTGTTGATTTTTATTTTTCTACATCACTTCAACACACCAGCTGTCCTGTATGTTGTGTGAAGATTTTGAACGGACCAATAGAAATAGAAATAAAATCACTTGTAATAAAATTGCTTTACATTGGCTTCCACTGAAAGGTAAGAGTGTTTTTGCCTCTCCTGTAAAGTTACTATTTTGGAGATACTTGTTTTTCTTTGGACAGCAACGATATGTTAAACGCATCTGATGTGTACCGGTGTGTCTTTACTGATGGGGGCGCTGATGTGTTCATCTTCTTCTAGGGTTGGGGGGGTATTACGGAAATGAAGCCTGTGAAAAGAAAGAACATGGTGAAATATTATGTAAATCTTCAGAGGGTTTTTGAAAGCTGTGGTATTATGACGTACATACATACATCATCTAAACCGCTTATCCTTCTGGGTCGCGGTGGGGTGCTGGGGCCTATCCCAGCTGTCATTGAGCGGAAGGCAGGATACACCCTGGACAGGTCGCCAGTCGATCACAGGGTGAAGACATATAAGTTGTATCTTATATAGCTACCTAGCATTGGTATAGTCCAGACCATATTTGAGGGCGGGGTTAAGGAATAAAAAGGGCTAGGACTAAATAAAAGGAGTTCTCCTATTTCTTTGGTGATCCTCTCAGCTGAGCGTTAGTGTTGGCACTCTGTTCAGCTTTGCAGCCAACTGGCTTTATTTTTGTAGCTGTATTTAAGCTAAGTGCAGGAAATTACCTGCTGAAGAGCTGCTAACATTACAAACAAGACATTTTCATGAGAGTTTTGATCTGAGAACTGTTTTAACCGACTTCTTGGGATCTGTAAATAGTGATTTTTTTTTTTGTCCTCACTGAAATGGGTGCCTCAAATAAAATCGAGCTTAACTTGGAGCATTTTGACTGATTCATCTGTGGTGAATCATCTACCGTTAATCACCCCAGGTCATACGTCCATTTAGCTGCCCGAATAATAAATAAAACTGTGTTCAAAGCATGTGCATTTGTAAAAAACCTCGTATCTCCAAAATGGTAACTTTACAGGAAAAAACATACTTTACTTTTAATGTGAGTCAATGGAACCAGACGTCTTTCCAAGTGATTTTTGGCCGTTTCTTTTGGTTCATTCATCATAAAATTTACACACAATGTAAAGAACAACAGGCATTTTCAGATTATGTCAAAAACAGTCATTTCATTTCCAGTCAAAACAGGCATTAAATACAACAACTAAATATTATATTAATATTTTCAGTGTTCAGTGAGTCGCTCTTTACCTTCATTCCAGCTTCCATTTTTTTCAGGAGACTCACTTTCAGTTCCTCAAAGAATCTGCAGACACACCTCCAAAGTTCAGTCTTAGAAGCTGGTTGATCATTTTCTGAAGTAATCAAACACATTCAGTGGTGTTGAGGTCTGGACTCTGGGGTGGTCAGTCCATTGTCCAGCTTCTTTGTTTGATGTGTCCGTCTCCTTTTCTCAGTGAGGTTCTTCTTGATCAGCTACACATCCTTTCAGACCCACAGCGCTGAGTCGTCTTCTCACAGTGGAAGGATCGACAGAAACACCTGTGGATGTTTTCAGATCTGAAGCAGCTTGATTTTCTCCTCTCTCTCAAAGATGAAAGCTTTAAGTGCCGTTTATCTGATGGGGGCAGTTTTGGGGTCTGCCAGCTCTTCCGGGTGGTTGTTAGGAGGCCCATTTTTGCCTATTTTCCCTTGACTTTCTCTTTCTTTATGCAAGGGGATTGTCCTATATCTCCTCGCACTTATCTCCTGAAAAAGGAATAACTTGTACTTACTGGAATGGATGGAAATGAAATGATTGGTGGTCTCTGACTGTTGCATTAGTGTCGATATTATTCACATTAGAAATGAAAGCTAAACTAGGCCACTGAGCCTCCTCTTCCCACTACTTGATGCAGATACGATTAGAGAGCTCTGATAGCCTCTGCAATTTCGTGGTACATATATCTGAGTCTGATATGGCATATATATGAAAGAGCATGAAAGCCTTTTTAAGTATTAATCGTTATGCCAGCTGTGGTGTGAATTTAAGACAGTATTACAAACAGCCAACAAACAGACAGACATATAAATATTGTGATATAAACCAAACTAAAAAAAATAA